GGGGTGGAAGGGGTGGGGTGGGGGGGTGGCGCCTGTCCTTGTGTGCGTGTGCGTGTGCATGCATGTGAGTGTGTCTCTCAGGCTCCAAGCCGTGGAGTGCGCTGTGCTTTGAAAACTTGCGTATGCGTCGGTGGGATGGGGACAACATCCGTTGTTTTTTTTCCAAGACAAGTGAGGATGCAGCAGCAGGGTGAATGCATCTCACGTTGCGTTTTGTCTCAGTCCTTTCCAGCTGCCATCTGCCATCTCTTCTGCAGCAGCAGGGCGAATGTGTTCTCCTTTTTGTTCCGTCGCTGCTCTTTCGCATGCTGAGCCTCTCATCCACTCGCTTCTCCTCGCCTTGCTCACGCCTCTCTTTCTTGCCCTCCCCATCCTTCCTCCCCTCACCTCCAGCACTCAGGGGGGAAGTGGATGCGGAACGCAGGGATCACCAGTGGATGCAGCAAGTGCGGGATGCTGGCAAGCACACACGCACTTGTGAGTGGACCAGACCAACTGGCATGCCACTTTTCATGCATTCACTGTTTTCATGCATTCTCGTGTGCCGTTCTGTCTTGTCCACCATTTCTGGAAAGTACTTGTGAGTGTGCGTTCATGTGATTGTGTCTCTTTCTCCATGTCCCGTTGCTGTCTCTGGCAGCATCCGTGGGGGAAGCAGTGGCAGCATCAGCACTGCTGCTGCTTGATCTACATGGTGGGTGTGATGGGAGATTCTGCAGGGGGGAGTTGCTGGCCCCGTTATCGCACATTTCTCATTTGATGCTCGCCTTTCAGTGGTTGCCTTTCCATGGCGATCTGACGTGAATAATATACACAACACAGCTAACATTTGCCGTCCGATCATCTTCACTTTGTGCAGCTTCTGAGTGGCTCCTCTTTCTCTTTCTTCCTTCCTTGTCCCTTTACTGTCCCGATGGCAGCTTCTCCTCGTAAGTGGCTCTTCTATGGTGAAGTGCAGGGCGACGTAGAGGACATGTGGGGTGCGCTGCCACTTGCTGGTGGACTGACCACCAAGAGCTTCAGATGGACCACCGCTGTGCTTTGCTTTGCTTGTCTGTCCGTAGGTGTGCCAAGGTTTGGTTAGGTGTGCTTAGCTTCTTGTAGGTGTGTTGTGCTGTGCCGGGCTGGGATGGGCCTGCATGTTGTGGAATAGGTTGGTGGGGTGGGGTGGCAGGGCAGCCTTGAAGGTGCCTGCCTGGGCACAAACACCCAAGCAGGTGCTGTGTCGTGGCAAGCAGCCAAGCAGTGGTGAAAAGAAAGTGGAAACGCAGGGCACTGCCACTGAGGCACGAGCTGCATGCAGCATGCATGCACATGCAGAACAAGCTACAACAAAGAAGTCGAGGAGACAGGCAAACCCCAACTGTTGATGACAGGGACTGACAAGAAGCAGGATTGTCACAGATGGTGCACAAACTGCGGTACAGAAATGGTAGATGCCACGGCCATCAGTCAGTCAGCCAATCTGTCAAGCAGCCGAGTAGCAAAGCGGCCAACCAGTCAACGAACACTCCAGCCTACCAGTCAACCAGCTAACCAGCCTGCCTCAGCCATCCAGAAATCAACACTCCAGTCCAGCAGCCTGCCTATCCCAGATCCTAGCATCCTGGCCTCAAAATTCAACAGGGCATCTGTACTCTGGCAGTGAGTGGGTCTATAGAGTTATGGATTTATAATATCCACTCCAGATGGCCCATTAAGGTACTTCATATGCAGCTGCCAAACAGTCACCAAACAGACCACATGCCTACATCCAATGCTGTGGAAGGTAAGTTTCACATTCGTGCAAGAAAGTTGCTGTTTAGTGTGTGGTGACAAGGAATCAAGCTGTTCACATTTGTACGAATTAGTATCGGGTTCAGTGCAAGCGGCAACGCGCACCCGCACGAACCACTCTGATGTGCCTACCGATGTCCCCCTCCGTCTTCCAAACCGGGATTGTTCCCACCAGGTTCGGTATGTTCCCCTGGGTTCTGCCTCGGTTCCGTCTGACAACTTCGAGGTGGGGAACTCTCATTACTTGATGCTCAAATCTCGGATGTGCCTTCTTTTGAAAAAGCCTCTCACACACAACAGAGCTAGATAAAACCGACGAGTTGCATTGTAACTGACGCCTTTTACGGGGCTGTTGTTGCTACCTCAGGCAAACACCTGCTTGCTTGACAGACTCAGCTCTTAGTCTCAGGATGTTTGAAGTCGTCTGTTTCGTTTTACCAGCAACTTGTTAGGCGAGGTGATTGCAGGCAGTAGAACGGGATTATTCCGAACTGGTGATAATTCCTTGAATCTCTGTACCCTATGACCTCCTTCGTCTCATCTCGAACTATGCGCGTGGAACTATGCGCGTAATTTTCGCCTTAGTTCCGAATCGTCACGTCCCTAAACCGACCGATGAGAGCAGCTGTATGTAAGAACAAGCGCGTTACCCGCGTCCTCTCCTCGCATCTAGCTTCCCGGGACGCGGCCATGGCGTGTCGCGTCGTCCTCTCACAACCGTCGATCATCCTTCAGTCGACTCAACAGTCGTGTTCGGTTTCCCGCGTTAACCCACCGCAAGGTTCCTCACTCATCTCCGCATCTCACACTGACTCAATCAATAGCAGCGGCGCTTCTCCTTGCGCTATTGTCACACGCGGCTACAGTCACAGAGCCGTTACACCCACCTACGTTACCAGAGCGCTCGTATCCAGCAGCCTTGCCCGCGCCCCTTCAAACCCTAGTTCGTCCCTCCACAGCCCCTCCCACCTTCCGAATTCCTGCAGACCGTTCTCCTCATCGCGACCCGCATCCTCATCCTCGTTGTTGTCGTCCTCGTTATCCACATCCGTGTCCCCTTTCTTCGCCCCTCGCCGTGTATCGCCGCCGGTACGAGTCCGTCAGTTCCCAAGGGCCAGCCATTCCCAACGCACCCCCTCGGAGGTTGAGCACACATCACCTGACGTGCATCACACACCCTCCAAAGCAGCAGCCTCCAATCATGACGACGCAATCCCGCCTGAAGATGTAGCTGAAGAATCCGGAACAAGGGCAGGCGACGGTGATGTTTCCGGAACAAAAGCAGCAGTCGTACCGGCAGCAAAACCACTATCGGAGGATTCTAGCACTGTTTCTGCCGAAGCTGGCTTCGGGGATGCTTCCGAAGCCAAGGAGGAGGTTCGGAAGACGGTTTTGGCGGTGAGGAGGCGCCGAGCCGGGGGTTTAGGTTTGTCAGGGTTCGGATCGGACGGCGATGGCATTGTATGGAGCGACCTTTTAACGGTGCCTGGCGTGGGGCCGCGAAACCTGGCGAAGCTTAAAGCGAGGGGGTTTCGCGAAGTCGCGAATCTGACTCAACTGTACAGAGATAAGGTGAGTCTGCCGCGCGGGGGTTCTTGGTAAGGAGGAGAGAGAGGGTGGGGATACGACCGAGCTACGTTTGCCTTCTGTTCCTAATATTCACTCCCTGCCTCTTCCGTTTTCTGCTATCCTCTTCCTTTCCATCGCCGCAGTTCGCCTTCCAGGAATCTTCCAAGGGTCGAAGCGCGATGCAGGAGTATCTGCAGAGCCACGTGGGCATCATCCGCAGGGACCACGCCGCGCGAATCACGGACTTCGTCTGCCTGCGCGTCGCGCAGGAGGAGGGCGGAGCGGGTGCGGACGACGCGGTGGCGGACGGGGAAGGCGCGGGGGAGGGCGCGGGGGAAGCCGGCGCGGGGGAGGCGGAGGGAGGCGCGGGGAAGGGGCGGAGCCTAGGGAGACACAAAAACAGACTCACGTTTTGCGTGGAGGGGAATATCAGCGTGGGGAAGACGACGTTCTTAGAACGAATAGTAGGCGACGCGGTGAAGCTTCATGACTTAGTGGAGGTGGTGCCTGAGCCGGTGGCGAGGTGGCAGAGCGTGGGGCAGGAGAAGTTTAATATTCTGGAGGCGTTCTACGAGGAGCCGGAGCGGTACGCTTACACGTTCCAGAACTACGTGTTTGTAACGCGGATGATGCAGGAGCGCGAGAGCGCCGGGCGCGTGCGGCCGATCCGGCTGATGGAGCGGTCTGTGTTCAGCGATAGAATGGTGCGTTGGGGGGGGGGGGGAGAATGGGGGGCATGGGATGGGGAGGGTGGTGGGGAGAGGGGAGGGGAGAATGGTTCTGAGTCAAGGTGCGGCCGATCCTTCTGATGGAGCGATCGGTGTTCAGCGATAGAATGGTGCGTGGGGGGGAGGGGATGGGGTGGGGGGAGGGGGAATGGGGGGCAGGAGCAGGGGGAGGGAGGAGAGGGGAGGGGTGGAATGCATTCTGAGTCAATTCAAGGCCCATCTGGCTGATGAAACGATTCGTGTAGAGCGATTGAATGATGCTTGGGGGTTCAGAATGAGGAGGAGCAGTATGGTATGGGGGGATCAGGCTGATGCAGCAATTGGTGCTCTGCAGCGGAGTGGTGGATGGGAGGGAGAAGAAACAGTAAGGAAGCAGGTGGGGAGGTGAGAAATGGTGTATTCTTGTAAGTTGTGCGGGCAGTGCATGAAGCGAAATGGATGAGCGCCATGGAGGTGAGCATATACGACTCGTGGTTCGACCCTCTCTCCTTTGCCCTCCCTCTCTCACCACCCCTTCCTCCTCCAGGTCTTTGTGCGAGCAGTGCACGAGGCCAAGTGGATGAGCGCAATGGAGGTGAGCATATACGACTCATGGTTCGACCCTCTCTCCCCCTGCCTTCCCCTCTCTTCCACCACCACCACCACCCCTTCCTCCTCCAGGTGTTTGTGCGAGCAGTGCACGAAGCCAAGTGGATGAGTGCGATGGAGGTGAGCATATACGACTCGTGGTTCGACCCAGTGGTGGCGGCACTGCCCGGCCTGGTCCCAGACGGGTTCATCTACCTGCGCGCCAACCCCCTCACCTGCCACCAACGCCTCAAGCAGCGCGCACGAGGCGAGGAGGCGGGGGTTTCCCTGGACTACCTGACTGACCTGCACAACAAGCACGAGCAGTGGCTGCTGCCGGTTGAGTCGGCCGAGGAGAGGCCGAGGTTCTCTGTTGTGCAGCCCGATTGGTTGAAGGAAAGGGGAGGAGGGGGGGGAGGAGGAGGTGGGGGGAGAGGGGAGGAGGATGACACACCGGAGATCATCAAGGGGCGGGTGTTTGCTCTTGAAGGCGAGCATCTGCACTCGAGCATTCAGCAGGTGAGAGGGCCGGTGGTGGAACGTTTGTGCCTAAGCCGTGCTATTGCTTGCGCATACACATGCCTAGGCCATGCTATTGCATCAAGGGGAGGGTGTTTGCTCTGGAGGGCGAGCATCTGCACTCGAGCATCCAGCAGGTGAGAGGGCCGGTGGTGGATTGAAGAAAGCTTATGCCTAGCCGTGGGATTTTGTGCAAAGCCGTTTTGAAGCACATGCATGCTGAGGCACCTGCATGCAGAAGCACCTGCATGCAGAAGCACCTGCATGCAGAAGCACCTGCATGCAGAAGCACATGCATCCAATTGTGTGTCGTTTTTCGGCTGTGCTGCTCATTTCTTTAGGCGCCTTCAATGTAATGTCCAATTATGCCCTGGGTGTGTGGTGCGTGCAGGTGCCGGCGTTGGTGCTGGACTGCGACGCTCAGATCGACCTCATTCGCGACCAAGACGCAAAGGAAATGTGAGATCCCTAGCCCAACCCCCTCCTTTCCGCGCCTTTTACATGCGGCTCTGCAGCAGCCGTTTTCATGTGCGTTCTCCCTGCGTTTGTGCCTGCTGTGCTACATTCACAGCAGCATCAATCACAGCATATCAATTTTTTCCACCCATTCGTCGACTTGACTCATCTTCCGCTTATCCTCAGTCCCGTCTACTGCTTATCCCCTTTGTCTCAGTTCTCTAATCCTCAATCTCCTTTGCCATTGCTTCCCTGTCTCAGCCTGCATTGATGTGACCTCATTGCATCCCGTTCTGCCACTCCTTATGGGCTCCTATCACCATGCATTCACCTCCTTCCACCACTTTCCACCACTTTCCACCTCTCTCCACCCACCACCGTGTGTATCACCGCAGGTACACGAAGCAGGTGCAGGCATTCTTTGACTTTGTGCAGCGGCGCAAGGAGCAGCAGAAGCAGCGGCAGCGGCAGCAACGGGAGGGAGCAGGCATTTCCCCTGACTCACCGCTTCTCATCCCCTCCACCCCCTCTCTCTCCATGCCCCCTGGGATAAGCTTTGACCCCTCGTCGTTACTTCGCGCGTAGAAATTTCCACATCCAAGCCGATAGACTGACACGATAGGCGCCTCAATTACTGTCTCACTGAGGCCCAGTAATGCCGATCTGTTCTTGTGTTTCTGATCGTGTGCCGTTACTGCCACCATACTCTTTTACAGCTCCCCATTTTAGAGATCGCATGCATCGGGTTATGATGTTTGGACATTGAGGGAGCTGCTTAGCTGATCAATTTTCATGTACCATAAGCTGCAATAAATGGGGCACTTGGTTGGTTGCTTTTCCAGGACTTGACTGTCCTCTAAAGAATGTGGGATCACTTTGCATCTGTAGTAACACCCGTATTGAGATAGTGTTCCTGATTGTCTGCATGCTTTCTGCTCTGTTCCTATTGAGAGCATTGAGCTGCTGTTTGGACGGGCCTTTGGGGAGCTGTTTAGCTTATTTATTGTGGAAGGAAAGGCACAGAAAGGAAGCAGTAATATGAAACGGTGATGGAAGGTATTTTTTCCAGTATAGATGATATAATACAATAAGGAATTGAGTTTCTTCTTTTCAACAAGCAAGCAAAACCCATGCATGATGCATCTCATGACTACCGTAGGTACGGTATTTGCTCCTGACATTGGCTAAATTGCCTTATTCCAGGTATCCATTCTTGGGCTCTGTGCATACTCCACTGCAGCAGCCTCTCTTATCTCGATATAGGCACCACCAGCTCTCAGCACTCCCCACCCCATAACGCTTCATTGCCCATAGTGCCTCTGCAGCCATCTGTTCCTCCCCTCCACCACCCACGGCATCGCCAACACCTCCCTAGCAGACGGCCTGTCACTCGGCTTGGCTGCCAGCAGCTGTCTCACCACCTCCTTGCCTTCACTCGACACGCCCATCCATGCCGCCGTTCCCATTGGCAGCGCCACCCGCCGGATATTTCTCAGAAGCGCTCTCGTGTCGCGTCCCGAAAAGGGTAACTGCCCGCCGGAAAGGGTTAGGAAGAGGCAGATGCCAATACCCCAGATATCCGAGGGGTAACTGGTAGTCAACCCTCCGGCGACCTCGGGGGAGATGTAAGCGGGGCTGCCCACCATTCCGCGTCGCACTGTACCGTCCTCCTTGACCCTCTCAGCCAATCCAAAATCAGCTAGAACCAGCCGCTGTCGCTGCTCCTGCTTCTGCTGCTGCTGCTGCTCCTCTTCCCCTGGCAACTCGTCTAACGAGGGGTTGCTTGCAACGGGGGTGATTCTACGCGACGCGGACCGCTGCAGCGTGCTCGTGACAGTAACGAGCGCCACGCGCCTCTTCAGCGAAACACCGCCGTCCCTGCTCAAGCTGACTCGGTGCCGGGAGCGGCGCTGGGAGTTGCGATGATCGCGCGCATCTGTAGCAGCGGTGCCGGCTGTAGCAGCTGTAGCGGCTGTAGCAGCTGTAGAAGCGGAAGAGGAAACGGGCGGCTGCGAGATGAGCACGTTCTCGGGTTTGATGTCGCGGTGGATGATCCCCTGCGAGTGGAGGTACGCCACTGCCGACGCGATTTCGTAAGCCATCCACGCCGCCTCGTCCTCCCGCTCCTGCTGCTGTCGTCGCGCCGCGCCGTACGCGCCGCGCTCGAGGAACGCCAGGGCGGAATAACCGGCGGTAGCGGGGGATGTGGCGGGGGAGATCGCGTGGTTTGCGGCCTCACGACGGCTCTCCGCGGTCACTGCGTCGTGATCGTCGTCGCTCTCCCTCCCCACGTCTGACGCGGAGGAGGACGCGGAGAGATCGTCGGAGCTGAATTGACGGAGGCGGTGGGCGAAAGACTCCGCTTCCGCCTCCCCCTCCGACTCTGCGCCCTGCTCGAGCGCCAATAGCTTCTCTCCTGCGTTCCCCGCGTGACCGCGATCCACGGCAGACGATTCGATCGCGGTCGGGGCAGCAGGTGCGAGGCCCGTTACCTCGCCGCGCCGCCGCTTCTCGAGGTAACTAGCGAGCGAGCCGCCGCGGCAGAGCTCCATGACTATGTACATATGGCGCCGCCCCTCTATCACAGATAACACCTCCACCACATTCGACCGCCCTTCCGCCTGCCCTTCCGCTTGCCCTTCCCCCTGCTTTCCGCCGATCGCCTGGCTAATTTCCGCCTCTCCGCGGAGCAGGCGGAGAGTGGATTCCGCCTCCGCCTTGTCCTTCTTGCGGAAGACCGACAGCGCGGCGCATTTGTATTTGTCCTTAGGGATCGTCTTCACTGCCACGTGGACGCCTGTCTGCCTATCAACCGCCTCGTGGACCGTTCCAAACCGACCGCTACCGATTTTCTTGCCGATGCGGTATCTCTTGCGAATGTCCTCTATATGCGACGTGCTGCTGGCATTGGTCACTGTCACATGCGGCGCAACCTGCGGCTCATTGGCGACATGAGACTCCGCCATTGTTACCTCCTGCCTCCGGATTTGGGAGCAGAGTATGCTCTTTGTGCAAAACTTCTAACTGCTCTCAGTGGGACGGGAAGTGCGCACTGAACGATAGTCTGGGTTTCGCCGCTGCTCTGTTTTAGGGTGGAAGACTTGTGGTGTGGGACTGAAGCGTACTGATTGCGGAACAAGAGCGACACTGTTGCTACTTATCGGGAACGAAGATCGGAAGACCTGATGTTGTTGGCTGAAAGATTCCGTTAGCTTTGCTGCGCTGGATGCGAGTGAGGTTGGAATTGGTCATTGCAATTACGCGCCTTCCTATTTATGCTCAACAATTTGAACAGAAGTGATGGTGAGGCAGCGATATAGTGCGATGAGCTACGGTGAGAAGAGGTTGCACGGTGAGATCCGGGAAGTACAGGGCGTCACTGGCCCGCAGCGCGTGGTTACGAGGGACCACGTGGAAGGTTCGAGTGCTGGGCTGGTTGCGTCACTCGCCGCGCGAAAGTGGTTGGTTCCGGGGGCGAGGGAGGACGTGGCGGGATCCGAAAGCAGCACTTGTTTTTCGAGGGTGGCGGGTTTGCCTTGCCTGCGCTCCGCCCTTGGGCTTTGCGGAACGCTGACGTGGTCTGGTTTTATGTGGCGTGAAGAGGAAGCACTCAAGCCATACCAGTAGGCGTACTCTCCCCAGCTGGCTGACTTCCGCGTCATGCCACAAAAACCCTGTTTCTCCGCCAATACAGTCTCTGTCGGCTTCCGTGATCAGCATCACATTTGTGAAATTTGTCTTATCTTGTTGGCAGTTTGCTCCCTGGATTTCCGCTGGCCTCTCAACACTAGGACGGGGCACCAAGATCGAGCAACATTGGCCGTCGATCGACTCGGCTGACGCAAACAAGGACCAGTGTCTTTGAATGTTTCAGACACGCATCCGTAATTTCGAAGTGGTTTCTTCGGTGTAAGAGTTGCGTCATCCTGGTGTTGGTGTTGTTGCTTTCCCGCCCAGCGCTGTCGGGGCAAGGGCTTTCGCCAAACTTGGGAACCCCACCCCAGCCATAAATCTGGAGCTACCAATAGCTGAGCTCCAGCTCCTGCTCCCAGCTGCCGTACCTATGAAGGCGGGGCTGACGTCAGTGAAAAATGGCAGAGGAACCTTCGTCACCAGCATTTATGAACACGCAAGCTAGTGAATCCATCACATAACAGGAACTACAGTTCTTTCTTACATGTCTTCTTTATATTTAAGAGTCAGGTTTAGGGCAGATACCAACACATCTACCGCCAAGGAATATTTGGACCTTATATAACCATGCTTCCAAATCTGATCTATCAGCCAAATAATCAGCCTACGCTGGAGACATCTTTCCTCTAGCCACTTACTGTTCCAAGCCCCATCCCACTACCTTCGCTACCACCTCCAACCTCGGTAACACCAGCAGCACCTGCAGCATTGGTCCCACCATATGCTTCTCTTTCCCCGCCCTTCCCTGTCCCTGTAGCTATATCTGAATCTGAACCCGAGAAGCTTGCTGCTGCAACTGCTGAAGTCTTACCACCCTCACTCATCATCGCAGCAGCTGCTGCTCCCAGCAGCACTGGCCTGGACTCCCCTGCTCCCCCTCGTGTCACTGCCTCTCCTGATGCCAACACTCGCCCACCAATGCTCTTTGCTTCGCCTTCTGATGCCAAGTCAGATGCACCCATGCCAGCTGTGCTAGTGAAATTATTTCCTCCTCCCCCACCAACCCCATCACCACCATCACCATCATCACCAGTAGCTTTAGGCTGTGTGATCGCACGAGTTGAAATGACATCAACGGCAAAGACAGGCACAGGAGCTACCTCAACTCCCATCCCCACTCCCACCCCTGGCTTCCCATCAGAAGCCAGCCTTACACCCTCACTTTCCTCCCGCTTTCCCAAATCACCCGGGCCCCCCTCATTCCCACGCCTCCCACCCTCGCCCCGCTTCCTCTCTTGTTCTCGCTCACTCTCCTTCTCCGCATGGCTTGACTGTCCCACTTGTTTCTCCTCTCCCTCGCCCTCCTCATCACCTCCGTCCATTCCCAGTGCCTGCTGAATCTCAGCCTTCCAATCAGTATCATAACCCCCCTCCCCTTCCACCTCGAACAGTATAGCCTGCTGCATTCCTTCCCTGTCCCCGTCCTTCCCTTTCCCTCCCTCCTCTTCTTCTTCCCCCAACTCCTCTCCTCTCACTGCTTTTTTACGCTCCTTCACCTCCTGTTCCTGTATCGTCAGCCTCCCACTTTGACCCACTGCCGCTGTCCCTGTATGTGTGTCTGCTCCTGTACCAGCACCCGTGCCTGTGCCTGTACCCGTGCCTGTGCCCATGCCTGTGCCCGTGGTTGGGGGAGCTACTTCTGGTGGTTGGGGAGGAGGCGAGAGCACTGGGGCAGGAGGTGCAGAGGAGGCGGAGGGGGAGGCAGAGGGGGGGGCAGGGGGGGAGGCAGTGGGGGAGGCAGAGGGGGAGGCAGAGGGGGAGGCAGAGGGGGAGGCAGTGGGGGAGGCAGAGGGGGCGGTAGATGAGGGTGTGAGGGAGGGAGAGGAGGGCACAGGAGATGGCGGGGAGGTGGGGGGCAGGATGGGGTTGGGGGAGGGAAGGGGAGAGGAGGGCAGCAGAGAGGGGGCAGCGGGAGTGGAGGGAATGGGAGAGGAGGGAGGGGAAGTGGAGGCAGGTGCAGGAGAGGAGGGTTGCGCGAGGGGCTGGGTATGCTGGGATTGGGAATGGGAGGGGCGGGAGGGAGCAGGAGTGACGAAAGGGGGAGGGGATGCTTGTAAAGGGGGTGCTTGTGGAGGGGATGAGGTGGAGAGGTGGCGGGGAGGAGATAGAGATGCTGGCGCCTGGGAGGAGGCTAAGCCTGCTTGTGCTTGGGAGGGTGGTTGTTGGTTGGGCGGTGGATAGTTGAATGGGTGTTGGCTGGATGGCGATTGGCTGGATGTCAATGGTGGTTGGGGCTGTGATGATGGTGGCACAACGGCTGGAGTGGGGAATGGCGATGGTGGTTGTGATGAAAGCGGTGTTTGTGATTGGGATTGTGATGATGTTACTGCTGATGATGGTGGGATTGGTGGTGGCATTGGTGGTGGCATTGATGGTACCGGTGATGGTGGTGGCATTGATGGCAATGGTGTTGACGTTGGCGTTGATGGTGAAAAGCGTGGTTGTTCAGGTGGGGAGCGGGCAGAGGTGGTTGGAGGAGGGGGGTTGAGGTAATCCCAAGGGGGAGGAGGGGGCGTGGAAGAGGGGGTTGCTGGTGATGTTGCTGCTGCTGATGGCGCTGCTGGTGATGGCACTGCAGGGATCGATGCTGGTTCTGCTGCTAATGCTGCTGCTCGTGGTGCTGATGCTGATGGTGCTGGTGCTGATGGTAATGGTGATGGTGGTGCTGATGGTGACGCTGATGCTGATGGTGATGGTGCTGATGCTGATGGGGATGATGCAGGCACCGATGCTGATGAAATTAGTGGAGGTGATCTTAACTCCCCTGAGGGGCGCGCACCTGTGCCCCCACTGCCCCTCATTGCCTGCTCCTCTCTCCACCTCGCTGCACGCTGCTCTCTCAACACCTCCCGCCTGCTTGCCGAAGCGCCACCGCCACTGCCACCACCATCAGCACCACCACTGCCACCACCACGAATGCCAGCACCAGCAGCAGCATCAGCACCACTGCCTCCGGCAGATGCACCTTGCTCACCCATTCTTTCACCTGCTGCCATAGTTGCTCTCAAGCCTGATGAATCTGCTGCACCAGCCCCTGCTGCACCTCCCCCTGCCACACCTCCCCAACCTGCTGCAGCCCCCTTGGCTGCACCTCCCCCTGCTGCACCTCCCCCTGCTGCACCTCCCCCTGCTGCACCTCCCCCTGCTCCACCTCCCCCTGCTGCACCTCCCCCTGCTCCACCTCCCCCTGCTGCACCTCCCCCCCCTGCTGCACCTCCCATTCTTTCAGCTGCTACTCCCTGTGCTGGTGCCATCCGTGCTGCCTGTTGCCCTGGCGTGGCTGGCACTCTGCCGGCTGCTGCTTGCATTCCGCGCGTTGCATCTCCAATCGCCACCGCTGTTGCTGATGGTGGTGGCGGTGCTGCTGCCGCTGCTGCAGGTGCACCACCCAAGGACCTAGCAGACTGTGGTGTGGTTGGGGGAGGAGCACCAGAGGCGTTGGGAGGTGCAGCTGCAGCAGCTGTAACAGAGGGAGCAGAAGGAGAAACGGGGGCAGCAGTAGCAGAGGAGGGAGAAGGAGGGCGGGGGGCAGCTGTACCAGAAGCGGCAGCGGGAGAGCGAGGGGCAGTAGCAGAGGTAAAAGGTGGATTGGCAGTTGCGGCTGTAGCAGGCGAGGTAGGAGAAGTGGCAGGTGCAGCTGTAGCAGAGGAGGAAGGGGGAGTGGCAGAGGGTGCTGGAACAGAAGCAGGGGGCTGCCTTGGGCTGCTGAGGTTCCCAGGTGGGTTGGTGGGGCCTCTGGGTGTTGGTGGTGAGGGAGGAGCGGCGGAGGGTGTGGGAGGAGCAGCAGAGGGTGCAGAGGGTGTTTGAGGAGTGGGAGAGAATGATGGAGCGGTGGAGAGAGGTGGGCCAGCAGGAGCCCGTGCCACCGGACTGGCTGTGGTGGGTGGAACAGCGGTGGGTGGAACAGCGGTGGGTGGGGCACTACTGGGTGCAGCAGCGGTGGGCGCTGCTTGCCTGTTAGGAGGGCCACTGGTTAGCGGGCCAGCACCGGCGGGGGTGGAGGGAGAGGGGGACACCAGGGGAACGGGGGAGGCTAACGGGACGGCTGAGGGGGGAGGAGCTGGGGAGGAAGGTGGGCTTGAAGAGGGCGGAGGGGCGAAAGCAGCAGCAGGAGCTGGCTTCACAGGGGGCTTCTGGGGAGAAGCGAAGGGAGGCTGGGGAGCAGAGGGGGGGTAGGGAGCAGGGGGGCCAGGGTTGGCAGAGGCTCTTCCCTGAGTGGAAACGGTGGGGGCAGGGGAAGGGAAGGCAGGCGGGGCCGATGAGGAGGTGGGAAGAGGAGGTGATCGGGTAGGGGAGGGAGGACGTGATGAGGGCTGGACAGCGGGAGGGGCTGATGGAGGGCCAGGGGGAGGTGATCGGGGAGGGGAGGGGGGGCGTGAGGAAAGGGGGACAGGGGGAGGGGCTGATGGAGGGCCAGGGGGAGGAGTAGGAGGGATGAAGGGCTGTGTGGATGATGATGTGGATTGCTGCATGGGAGGTGACGTGGATTGCTGCATGGGAGGTGACATGGATTGCTGCATGGGAGGTGACGTGGATTGCTGCACAGGGGGTGACGTGGATTGCTGCATGGGAGGTGACGTGGATTGCTGCATGGGAGGTGACATGGATTGCTGCATGGGAGGTGACGTGGATTGCTGCATGGGAGGTGACGTGGATTGCTGCATGGGAGGTGATGTGGATTGCTGCATGGGAGGTGATGTGGGAGGCGGAGGAGAGGAGATTTGGGGAGGAGAGAAGGAGGGTGTAGGCGAGGACTGAGGAGGGGAAGGAGGGAGAGGGGGGTAGGAGGATGGGGGAGCAGCTGCATGTGTAGTGGCGGGGGGAGCAACACCAGCACTACTGGCAGCTGTGCCAACACCACCAGCAGCAGCAGCACCACCACTACCAGCAGCAGCAGCAGCAGCAGCAGCAGAAGGAGAAGGAGAGTGATGCAGGCCACCATTAGCAGCACCAGCATCGCCTGCACCACCGGGCATACCATTCCCACTCACGCCTCTGCTTGCACCTCCATTGGGCCCCAGATTCGCATGCCCATTCACCTCCCCGCCTCCCTGCCCTGCTGCCCCTGCTGTTGCTCCCACACCCGCCCCCACACCCACCCCCACACCTGCCCCCACACCTGCTCCCACACCCGTGCCTACCCCATTCCCAGCCCCAACTAGCACTCCTCCCCCTGCCCCTGCCCCTATCCCTGCCCCTGCCCCCGCCCCTACCCCTACTCTCGCCCCATTCTCAAGCGCCCTCGCAGCCCCACCAGCCCCTCCTCCCCCTGCCACTCCTCCACCCGTCCCCCCTCTTCCACCTCCTCCCACACCCCCTCCCGCACCCCCACCCCCTCCACCACCCCCACCCCCACCCCCACCCCCTCCGCCACCTCCCCCTCCTGCTCCTCCAACGGACCCAGAGCCCGCCACGCCCAGCCCAGCAGCGACGAGCAGCGCGGGGGGACGCATCTCCTCCTCCTCCTCGTCCTCATAGTCCTCATCTTCTTCCTCCTCGTCAAACTCGTCCTCATCGCTGTACCCCCCCCGTGCCACCTCGCCCTCGTCGTATAGTCTCTGCACTGAGCGGATAGGGGTGGCGAGGCGAGCGCCGTGCTCGAGAATAATCTTGTACATCTCCAGCACAACGTTCTCCTGCAGAAAGGGGGAAAGAGTGGGGAAGGGGGAAAGGACACGGAAGGTATGGGGCCGCATCTCCTCCTCCATGGTCCTCATCCACTTCCCCCTCCTCGTCCTCATCCGCTGCACCGACGTACATCTCTGGCACATCATTCTCCTGAGGGGTGATGGGAATGAGGTGGGGGAACAAGACAGGGAATCGGAGGCGTGGAAATGAGACGTCCGAGGAAGAGCAGAAGAGAGGAATAGACGAGGCCTGTGGTCCGAGAATGATGTTTCACATCTCAAAAACCGCAATCTCTCTTCGAAGAATAAGTAAGTCCCTTAATTAAATGTTACAGCATGACAGAGCGTCCAAGCTTGTACTTGCACGGGTTGGTTCGCTTTCTGGCACCCCTTTCTCACCTTGACTCGCAGGTACTCCTCGAAATAGGGCGTCTTGACGAAGCATGAGCACATGACCTGCATGTAGACCGGTGCAGAGGGGTGAAAAAATGTGTAGGTGGGTTCGGTGGGGTAGAAGGATGTTCAGCGAGATGCAGCGAGGAATGTAGAAGGTGGGATGGCGAGAAAGGGATGTCATGGCATTGGTGGTGACAGGCTACCAACAGCCCATGCACCCATGCCAACACATGGCTGTAGCTGCTGCTCGCTGGAATGTCGCTTGATCAAACACACGCTGGCGCCAATGGCGGTGCTAGATGGTGGTGTGGTGGAAGCGCGAAACAGCCCCATCTACATGCCAACACACGCCCCGTGCACCCCCCCCATTTTCCCATCCCCCCATCCCACCCACCATGATGGCCTGCAGCTGCTCGTCAATGCGCTCCACAAACACGCGCCGGTGCAGATGGCGGTGGTGGTGGCAGTGCGAAACACTACCAACAGCCCATACACCCATCCCAACACGTGCCTGCATGCATGCTCCGTTCCCTCATCCCACCCACCATGATGGCCTGCAGCTGCTCGTCGATTCGCTCCACAAACACTCGCCTGTGCAGATGGCGCTGCCGATGGTGGTGGCTGTGCAATGCACCCAGGCCAACGCATGCCCCACCCCCCCATGCCCCCATCACCCCATCATCCCTCTCACCATGATGGCCTGCAGCTGCTCGTCTATGCGCTCCACAAACACACGTCGGTGCAGATGGCGCTGCTCCAGCATGGGGTGCTTGCCTATGAACTTGCGCATCGCCACCAGGATGTCCTGATGGGGCATGGATCATGGAAACACGGATGGGAAAGGTTAGCACTTGCACAGCGGCTAAGAGCTCTCCAACAGTGTTGTCCAGCATGGGGTGCTTGCCTATGAACTTGCGAATCGCCACCAGGATGTCCTGATGGGGCATGGATCATGGAAACACGGATGGGAAAGGTTAGCACTTGCACAGCGGCTAAGAGCTCTCCAACAGTGTTGTCCAGCATGGGGTGCTTGCCTATGAACTTGCGAATCGCCACCAGGATGTCCTGATGGGTGGGATGGGAGGAGCAGAGGGGTGGGAAAGGGGCAGAGCAGGGGCGTTGGGATAGGAGCAGTACAGGGGTGTCCCAAATGGCGCTGCTCCAGCATGGGGTACAAGATGGCCAGCTCCCCCAACATCACCAAAGTAGATGTTCATGTCAACTCAAAAGTCACCTAAGAAGAACCCTGTCTCACCGGCAGTTTGTTAACATCGAGATGACAGACGCCAAAGTAGATCTTCATGCGCCAGTGGTTGCGTGTGCTCGTGGTGCGAATGACTAAACATGAGCCTTATGAGTTGACTCAGAAGTCACCTCAGATAAAAGAACACTCTGACTCACCGGCAGCTTGTTGACATCGAGGTGGCACACCCCGAAGTAGATCTTGATGCGCCAGTGGTTGCGCGTGCTCATGTTGCGAATGACAATCACGCTGAACTTGTGGTTCGGAATGTGAATGGCCTCCCTGTCGTCGCCGCGCACTAGTGTTGGCTCCCACCACCCCACGTGCTGCAGGCAGCGGTATATGCGACAAGGAAGTTGGGGCAAGGAGGGGACGGGAAGTCCTTTAACAAAGCGCCTAAAAAATGGATGTGAACGGCCTCCCTGTCGTCGCCTCGCACTAGCGTCGGCTCCCACCACCCCACGTGCTGCAGGCAGGAGGAGAAGTGGAGAAGGGGAAGAGAGGGCATGGGGAAGAGGGAAGAAGGGGAACAGGCGGGTCAGTGGTTGTGCGTGCTCATGCTGCAAATGACAATCACGCTGAACTTGTGGTTTGGAATGGGAATCGCCTAACTGTCGCCCCCGCGTACTAGAGTCGGCTCCCACCACCCCACGTGCTGCAAGGAGCAGGAGAGGGGACAAGGGGAAGAAGGTGGAATCGGGACGAGGAGGTGCAGAGCAAACCCGTCATGAAATTTGTTGGGCCAAAAAAGAAAGGGGGTTAGAGAAGAGATCCCCTGCCCACTGATGCGTCGCACAACCCACTCGTTCACCATCAAAAGACTACTGAAAATGAGCCACGGCCCACCCGACCATGTGCACTGCTCACTGCTCGCTGCTCACCTCCACAGTCCCCGAGATCTCCTGGCCGTCGATGCGGCACACGATCCACTCGTTGACCATGAAGGGGCGTGCGGCATGGATCATGATGGACGAGAGGAAGTTGGTCACGATCTGAAGCAGGGGAGGTGGGATGGGGGAATTTGGGGACGGGCGAGAAGGGTTTGAGTGGGGAGGTAGTTTGAGGCGAGCTGGGCATTGTCTTTTGCAAGCTAGGGACTCTGATCTGATGGGGTGATGGATGAGAGGAAGTTGGCCGCGGTGTGACTGAGGGGATTGAGGTCCGATGCGGGTGGGTGGAGTGGAGCTGAGATATGATGCTGTCATGAGCGATGAGTGATGATGGATGGATGAGGAGAGTTCGTCACGCATTGATAGGTCTCTCAAGGCAGACCTTTCTTCCCTTCACTTCTCACAACACGCACCTCTCTGGCCGCCAGAGTCACCACGACCGTCCCCAGCCCTCCAGCAGTGATCCATTTCTGCGTGGAGAAGCCCAGCAGCTCCATGAAGAGAAAGACCAACTCTTGTCCGTCTCTCAGACCCCACCTCTCTTACTCTCACTCATCACTCAACACACACCTCTCTGGCAGCCAGGGTGACCACGACAGTCCCCAACCCTCCGGCAGTGATCCACTTCTGAGTGGAGAAGCCGAGCAGCTCCATGAAGAGGAAGACCGCCGCCACCCACACGAGCGTGTAGACCGTGTTGCCCACGAACTGCACTCCCACCTGTTACGAAGGGGGGTTTGTGCGTGAATGGGGTTTTCCCGATGCATATCCTATATGCATCTCATGTACCGAAGCCACTCCTGCCATGCACCCACACGCGCGTGAACACCGTGTTTCCCACGAACAACATCCCACCCACCTGAACGAGAGGAAGGAGATTGGGTTAAATGCAGGGGCAAGGGGGCAGAATACGGGAAAATGACAAGGCAATGTGTATATACCCACGCCACTCCTGCCACCCACACGTGCGTGTGCAGCAAAGGAGAAAGCATAGGCAAGACAGCGTGATGCTTGCTGTCTGCAAGCAAGACAGTGGGCGACAGGAGAGGTCAAGGGCGAGTGGGCGAGAGGCAGGGCGAGTGGGTGACTCACATTTCGGGTCTCCTCCTTGTTGCTCTGCTTCTCCATCATCTTCTGTATCTGCCGTGTTAGGCTGTGACGTGGGGGGGAGAGAGGGAGAAGGAAGATAAACGACAGGAAAATTCGGAATGGAACGGTGGAGGGTCCGAGGCAATGCAGTGACGGGAAGAGGGTTGAAGAAATCAAGTCGTGAGGGAAACGCATATGGGTGAAGCATGTGGCATGGGGTGAGGGGCACCACAGGCCACTCACTTGGCGGTGCAGAAGGCAAAGACGAGCACGGTAGCGATTACCTACAAGCCAACTAAGCCAACTACAGAAGTAAAACCTCAAGTATGAAGTCCCCAGAAGCTAAGACGTAGCCGCAATGATCTCACTTGGCGGTGCAGAAGGCAAAGACGAGCGCGGTGGAGAGCATGTGGGTCAACTCAAATGTAAAGATAAATTAAAAGTCGTGTCTCATCTCAACAGGCCACTCACTTGGCGGTGCAGAAGGCAAAGACGAGCACAGTGGAGAGCATGTGGGTTAACTCAAATGTCAAAATGCATCAACAGTCATGTCTCAACAGTCATGTCTCAACAGTCATGTCTCAACAGTCATGTCTCAACAGTCATGTCTCAACAGTCATGTCTCAACAGTCATGTCTCAACAGTCATGTCTCAACAGTCATGTCTCAACAGTCATCTCACTTGGCGGTGCAGAAGGCAAAGACGAGCACGGTGGAGAGCGATCGCAGGAAGTTGACAAAGCGGTCCTTGATCAGCTGCCCTGCTGCCGTGGGCATTGAGAACGGCTGGAAACAGCTGCAGGCGGATGGGGGAGGGGGTAGAGGGGAAGGAGGAGCGAGAAGCTCGGAGAGTTGGGTGGTCCCTGATCAGCTGCCCCGCCTCCGTGGGCATTGAGAATGGCTGGAAGCAGCTGGCAGAGGGAAGGAAAGGGTAGAGGGGAATGGGGGAGCGAAAGCTCGGAGGAAGTTGACAAATCGGTCCTTGGTGAGCTGCCCCGCCTCCGTGGGCATGCTGAATGGCTGGAAGCAGCTGCGCGGGGAGAGAGGGAAGGGGGGCGGGGGGAGGGGGAGGGGTGGCGAGTTGGGGAGGGTTCAGGGAGTTTGGAGATATGAGACAAAGCACCCTTGATGAGCTGGCCCGTCTCTGTCGGCATGGTGAACGGCTGGAAGCAGCTGCAGGGGGAAGCGGCTAAGCGGGACGGGGAGGGGGGAGGGGGCAAAGAAGAGTCAACGCAGGACCTGTCAACACAGCCACAGGGCATGAGGACACAGGTCAAGCCACTTACCCACAGAGCACGAGCACGCAGCCCCAGAGGATGAGCGGGCGCAAATAGGACACCATGACGTGGCGAGACCGCGATTCCTCCCAGTTGGCGTCGCTCTTTTTAATCACCTTCCTACACAGCCGTACCAGCGGCCCCAGCAGCCAGATGGCCCCCGCTATAAGCACCAGCGCGGGCAGCACGGGGGAGAGAGGGTGGTGCAGCCAGTCTAGAGGCACCTTCCCTGCCGCCATGGCCTTTTTGAGAAGCTTCGTGAAGATCTCAGACAAAGGAGGCATCTGGTTAAAGGGATTTGGGAATTTGAGAAAGAAGGGTACGGCCCCTGCTGCTGCTCCTGCTGCTCCTGCTGCTGCTCCTGCTGCTCCTGCTGCTCCTGCTGCTGCTCCTGTTGCCCCTGCTGCTCCCGTCCCTCCTGCTGCTGCTCCTGCTGCCCCTGCGGCTGTCCCTGCTGCTCCTGATGCCCCTGCTGCTGCTCCTGCTGCCCCTGCTGCGCCTGCTGTCCCTGCTGCTGCTCCTGCCCCTGCTGCTGCTCCTGCTGCGCCTGCGCCAGCAGCAGAGGCACGCACTAGAGTGCGCAATCGTCGCCTGCTCCTACCCACACGAAAGCCTAACGAGCCACCTACGGGCCCTCGCCGCTGGCCGTACAAAGAACTCCGATATAAACCCGTTCGATTGAACGGAGTGGGATGCAGCGAGTGCGCACGAGGGAATCTAGAAGAAAATGCTGCGCAAGCAGCAGACGAGCTAGAATATGGAGCAAACAATACTGGTTTCGTTGGAATTTCGTGTGCAGAAAAATCTGCTGGTAACGAGGTTGCGGGCAATTCTGCTGGTAAGCTCCATGCTACTGGTAACCAGAGTCCATCCACAACCCATCTTCTGAGACCAAGCGTGCATCCTGTCCGTCCACTCGCCCTCAAATCTACAGCTTCTTGTCCACCTGTTTCCGAATCGACGGCTCTCCGTCCACCTGAATTCAAATCTACGGCTTCCCGTCCACTTGTTTCGGAATCTAAACCTTCCCACCAACATGCTCTCAAATCTAGGGTTTCAACAAACGGTTCCCTGACGGTTGCTCGACGGCTTCTGCTGCTCCGTCTCTTGAGAACGATAACGCGAGACGACGAATTCGGAAACCCGGAGATTCTGATCGGACGGTGCGCATGGACTACGAATGATCTGACGGCGTGGATTGGCCTGGAGCGCGGGATTCCGTGTAGTACTCTCTTTCTGTGATTCAGAGCAGGGGATGATCTGGGGGATCCCGATGCAGCAGCAGCAGCAGACGTGGATTCAGATGTCTCTTGTAACGATGCTACCTTTAACGCGGCTGTGAGAGTGATCGCGAGGACGGCGACGAGTGAAGAGGCCGCAGAATGGATCAACGCAGCTGCTGCTGTCGCTGATGCTGCCGCTGCTGGCGCTGTCGCTGCGGCTGTTCCGTTGCTCTGACTGGCGGACCCAGCGTGAGACTGTCGCAACGGTGAGACAGTCACACGGTGAAAACCAACTCGGCTCACTTGCTGCTTCTGCCTTGGTGACCAAGACGCGTTGCTAAGGCGAGCTGCCACGCGAGCCGGCCGTCTATACGCGCTAAGAGACGACGCCTCCTGAAGCGTGCGAGGCCACGGCCTTCCATGAGGAGCGCTCGGGGGTTTCGAAACGGATGTGCTTGTAACGGGCGAGGAATGTACAACGTGGGGAATGTGCTTGTACGAGGACGCTAGCAAGCACGCCATAGGAAGCTGCAAAGCCAACGAGCGACAGGAAGATCACGGCAAGTAACGATGCGAGTCACGCAGGCATGACATATAAAGCCTGCTGACGTGCATAATCGTTCATGGTCGGGGTAAGTCAGGGATGCACTACACGTAACTGCATTATCTGCGACCTTGGATAGAAAGGAGAACCGAAAAGAAATCTCCTAAATAAACTTGACGAGGCAACAACCCTAGTGATCGCCAGAGAACCCGGTACTCGAGCAGCGGGCCTGGCGGAACTTTCCTAAGCGGCTCTTGCTTCTGAACAGAATTCAGAATCAAAACCAGGGCTAAGATGAGGTGAGTGTGACCGATGGATCTCAGTTTGCAGCAGTATGCCTGACTGCAGTGAAATACTGCAGTGGATCATTCAATCCGCCATGCCTGACTGACGAGACTGACTGCCGTGTGCGTGCGCCCTAGGGATTGGTTGCGATGGCTTCGCACAGCCTTGGGAGTGGATGGACGCACAGTGCTCTGCTCCCTCGCCACAGGTCAACGAAGAATCTGCTCCGCGGCGACAAGGCTGCGAACGTTACACGAAGCCAATTCAATACGGCATGTGGTGCTACTTAGATACGACCAATAAGATGTGGGAGAGTTCAACAGCTTTGAAGAATGAGCTTTCTATGCTTGTACTTTCTACCATATAACGCATACCAACATTCATATTGACAAGCATGGCTACAATGCAAGGTGTAACTTGTGTAACCTGTTTACGACCCAAGGCAATCTCTGCTTCAGCGGACTCTTGCTCAATAGCCCCAGTTGTGGTTGCGAATCTCCTCGTCAAACTTCTCCTTGAGCTTGGGATTCTTGGCCAAATACTCATCCACTGTCATCGTCTTCAGTGCATCCTGCGACTCGCAATTGGCACATGCAGGTTACAGGGGAAAACAGGACATGACACGACACATGAATGGTGCAAGACTTTGCACTTTGAAGGGGAAAGGACAGACTAAGGTACAAAGTAGGTAGGAGCGGAGCAGCGATATGCCCAGCACAAAGCATCGACATCTCACATTGCAGGGCTAAAGGGGCTAAGTGAAAGCGGCACCAGAAATCGGCGGCACCAAAAATGGGCGGCATGTGCACGCACCTTCTGTGCTCGGATCTTCTCTATCTCGGCTTTAAGACGGGCTGCCTCACGCTTTGATGTCTCTTCCTCCTCCGCAGCCTTGGCCACCTGTGACAGTTACCATAGGTGCACATACACACACATGCACGCGCGCGCACACCCACATACACACAGGCACACACACACACACATGTCATGCAGGAGACGTGAGTCAGGACATGAAGTGACACAAGAGGTATGTGAGGGAAAGGCACCACAGCATACATGCAAAAGAGGGAATGGTTGTGCGGCGGTGAAGGGTGTGCAGAAGCGAGTGTGGAGCAGGGTCGGGCAGGGACGGGCATGCAAAAGCAGAGCGTGGAGTGGGTTGGGGGGAGGTGGGGGAGTGACAAGCGCATGCAATAGCCGGGAAGCGTGGGTCAGGGTAGCCATGCAAAAGCAGAGTCTGGAGTGGGGATGCGGGCGAGCGTGGGGTAGGATGCTCACCAGCTGCTGATGCTCCTTCTCAAACTCAGGCGTGAGTGTATCGACATAGTCCGGGATCTCAATGCCTGCTCCACCCAACCGCACATCCCCCCGCACACCCCCCCCCCCCCCCCCCCCCCCAACACACATACAGAACAAAAGAACAAGAGAGGGAAAAAGGGGACATGAGGGGAGAAGAAGAAACAGCGTGTTTAGCGAATGTGCCTATCCTATCCATGCTCAGTCACCCCCCCTCACAATTCTCGCATCCCCATCCTCCCCCCTACCATCCCCTTGTCAACCATACAATCCCTCCCACACACCATGCAAGGCGAAGCAAGAGACTCACTCTTGTACGACTGCTCGAACATGTCAACGATCTTGGGGTTGAGCTTGGAGCGGTACAGCGCCCAGTCGATCTCCACCACCTTCTGCTCGCCCGCATGCAATGAGGGGTGACAGGGGGTGACAGGGGGTGACAGGGGGTGACACGACAGGGATGCGGAACACCGGGAATGAGAAGGCTTATTGAGAGCAGAGAACTGACTTTGGAGCGGTACAGCGCCCAGTCGATCTCCACCACCTTCTGCTCGCCCGCATGCAATGAGGGGTGACAGGGGGTGACAGGGGGTGACAGGGGTGACAGGGGTGAGATGACAGAGGAGCGGAACATGGGGAATGAGGAGAAGAAGGAGCATTGGTAGTCGCCTCAATGGACAGGACACCATGGAACTGAACCGCGCCCAGTCGATGCCCACCACCTTCTGCTCGCATGCAACGAGGGGAACTAGTTACTAAGGATCCGCTTCGTAGACCGGGAACCGGGAACGAGGAAGAGATGAGGATGACGAGAGGGTGCAAGGGTGCAGCCGTGGTCACAACAAGGGCGATTCGAGGGGTACCGACTGCTTTCCCAATGGTCATTCGAGCTACAATGACCTTTCTTCGAAGGATACACGACGCTGACGACGGGTTACTCGCAGGTTACAGAGGCTAGGGTTACGTGCAAAAGTACATCAGCAGATTGCATGAAACCACAGCGTCGGCAGAGAAAGAGCCGAGACTCGATGGGACTCGGTGATCCTATTGCGGTTTGTTAACTTGGCGACCGTAGCCTCCGTAGCGACTGCAGCCAACTTACCGACCGTAGATACCTCAGCGACGTAGAGACCTTCGCGAAACAGTCACGGAGATATACGAGTATTGCGGCTGCATGCGGCGAGAACGATAGAGCGGGCGCTTTTGGGCTATACCGTCTGGTCCTAGATCGAAGATTTTCCGCGTTTGAAAGTGGTTTCCTTGAACATGGTGTTGAGCGTGTGCGACACCTCGTCGTGTGCGACACGTCGTCGTGTGCGACACCTTGTCGTGCACGCGCTTCATACACGACAATGAATCCACCTATCGGCGACTGAATAACGCTGAGATCGCATTCGCACACTACACCAGGTAACCGGACCTCGTTGAACTTCGTGTTGAGCGTGTGCGACACCTCGTCGTGCGCGCGCTTGAGCGCCGCCATCTCGCGCTTGCCCTCCTCGCTCACCACCACGCGACTCAGCTTCTCCCAGTCGATCGCCTTGAACGCCCGCTGCACCGCCGCCTTGCCGCTCATCCTGGCGCTTCGGAAAGAGCAAGAGATTTAAGGATCGGGATCGGCGCACGTGAGCGCGGATGGGTGGCGATTAGCGCGCGCGAGTGGAGGAAGAATGGCGGGAGTGGAAGAAGGTGGAATGGCGCGAGGCGGCAGAGAGGACAGCGGGGTGATGGCGAAAGGACTAAGGCTGCGACCTAGGGACTGGAGTATATTTAGGTCTCAGCTGAGGATATAGGTGGGACGTGAGAGACATGTAGCAAAGTTGGTACAGTAGAGTGAGAGCTTCGATACAAATATGTTGGTACCGTAGAGTGAGAACTACAATAATGTTATAGACAAATCAAGATTCAACTGTTCCTTATGATCAAGGAAGTCTGTCTGTCCATATCGCGTCAAATCTTCGTTCGGCTTGAAGTGAGGCGCGGAGGACGCAAGGGTCAGCCAGCCGACCATGTTTCGCAGAAATTGAATTATTGATCGTCGCAGATGCTCGCTCATTCCGACATGTTGAAATAGCGCCTCGTGATTGGAAGGAAATGGTCATTCATCGCCTCTAGTAGCCCAATAATGCGAATTTCGTCGCATAGCACGGCTCCAGCGGAAATAATTCAGACATTGGTGGCCCTCACTACCCGCGGTCCGTACAGGATCCATGCAGAGCGGTTTAGGAAAATCCACACTCATTCTGTCGTGGTGCAGAGCGGTTAATGCGAGGTGCTCCAGCAGGGCTCTCAAATCCAGCCGCTTCACCTCCACGCCTACAAAGGAGTTGGGGAAGCAACTCCTGTTTACTCAACCTATCTTTCTCGCCCGGTTCTTTCCTCTGTGGAGTGCCTCTGCAATTCGCCTGACTATCCCACTCCAATACTAGTGTGCTACTTTCCTGCTTCCTGTCCCCGTGACCTACGTTTCAAGCCGTTTTGAGCTCTGCTTTGAAGTCCAAGACTTCATCGAGGTCTTGACCAGCTTATATCGCACCGGCCAAGCAGAGGATATGGAGCGCCGCGCTTCGTCCATTTTCGCCATCGTGCTAGCGGCCGCAGTGGTTCTCCTCTGCGCTTCGGCACGTGTGGAGGCGCTATCGATGGCCCGCATCGGAGGCAAATATACTGACGTTAAAGGCGCCGCGAGCAGCGATGAGATCAGATCCCTGGCGCAGTGGGCCATCCGCGAAATTAACAACAAAACGGTCAGAGCTTATCCACGTTACCTCATCCCTTCGCAAACTTCGCATGCACATGCCCTGCCGGCGAAACCCGTCGCATTGAACGCGATTCATCGCAACCAATGCTCTCAGGCTTCGTCGTCGAACGGATGGCAGTGCCGCGTCCCTTTGTTCCACCACCACCGCTACCACCGCCGCCAACTCACGCGGCTTTCCCCGTCTTTTCGTTCTTCCCCTCCTCCCCTCCCTCTTACCCTCCTTCTCCCGCTCCCCGCCTTCCCCACCACCCAGGGCACGCTGTACAGCTTCGTGTCGGTGGTGTCCGCTCAAGAGGAGCTCGAGGTTCCGAGCGGCAGCTACCGCATCAAGATTAAAGCCACTGACTCCTCCGCACTGCCCGCTAAGAGAGCATACACGCTCGGAGGCGGTCCTTCCGCCGGCGCGGGCGGCGCGTTCAAGAAAATCAAGACGATGCTGCGAGGCGGTAAGACGACGATGCCGACGACGAGTTCGATGAAGCCCAAGGGGAATGGTGCCGTGAGCGCGCTGATCACGCTGCTCGTGGATGCGGTGGATGGGTCGGCCCTGGGCCACCCGAACGAACTGAAGAAATTCACGAAGCTTTAGTGTTCGAAGCGGCGGCGGGTAGGAGAATTCGGAATAAAGGCAGCTGAGGGCGTGTTCAGATGCGTTCGGATGTGTGCCGCCGAGCGCGCTTCGCGCCGCTGCAAGTGCCACCCTTGCGGAAATTCGTGAAGACGTGTCCAGGAACTTTCGCGAGGTTCCATTGAAAGTGATACGCTTCGTCCGACCAACGAGCTATTGCTCCTGGGGAAGATTAATCAACGGGTAGACAGTGTATGAGCGGCTAGTAACGTCCTCCTTGTCCCGCTTCTGTAACTCCCTGATGTAACATACGGCCGAATGGCGCGCATTTTTATTAAAAGCCTTTGCCCTTGCATCAGGATACTGAGACCAAGCATCAGCAGAAAGGAGCAGAGCCAAAAAAACGGCAGAGGAGGCATGGAACTAACTAATGCCAAGGGGCACAGGGACTTGAGGATATTGACACAGCAAGAATTCTTCCTTGATTGATACAGGAAGAGTTCATTCTTTTAATCAGCAGCACCACACCCACCCATGATCATGCTGCACATAGTGCAACCTGAGCAGAGTCATCACCCCACCACCGCAACTCTAAACCCGAAACCAATGAAACAAGATAAGCAGATGGCAGCTGTTGCACAAGCAGCGCGCAGCACATCACTTACGCCTCCCAAGCCTCGATATTCGAACGAACCCCCGCCATTGACGCATTTCCCAGTCACGACGCCCCCCTCTCTAGCCCACTCCTGTGACCTGTCCCCACTCTCATTTACATGTGAATATACAGAAAAAGGGTGGCTAACCCACACACCATCTGCATATATCTTTCTCCAGGCTTGGCCACCCCTGCAGCCAGCACCTGCATCTCTCTCCAGCCTGCAATTCTCCTGAAACTGCTCCTCAAAGCCATTTTGGAGTACTTGCTGTGAGCCACCCGCCAGCCACCAACCTCCAAAGGGATCTAGAGGGAGATGGGGAGGGGTGAGGAATGATATACGATCAGCAAGGCAGGCATGGCAAGCCAAGGCACGGTACGGCACGGCTGTTAGCGGCTTATGCTTTGCATGAAGCACAGCAGCACTCTCATCTCTTTTTCCTTTCCGCTCTCCAGGACTGGCGTGAGTGAGAACACGCTGTCAAGTGTGCTTCTGCTGGCAATTATTAAGGCTTCTCATCTCCTCCTGGCATGCTTGGTGCATGCTGCTGCAGGCGTAGGAGAGAGGGGTGAATGTCCCAGCACTTCACTACTCTCTGTCACGCCATGTCTGCATAATCTCAACACACAACCACGCCTGTTGCATGACCGGTGCTCCCATGCTTGTGCCCTTCACCTCTTCAGCGATCCACCCATTGCCTGCGCTGCTCTCAGTGTCACATCCCCTGTATGAGCCTGACACACACAAAACCGCCCTCACCTGTCACCACCGCTCTCCACCGCATCATCTCTTGAGCGCCCCTCCAGCCGCCTCCGCTGCCCTCTGTCGCATCATCTCCTGCACGGCCTTGCGCCGCCTCGACTCCATCTGCTGCGCCGACCGCCGGAAATGCTCCTTGAGATCCCTGCGGTGGGCGGAGAGAATAGAATAAAGGCAAAGAGAAAGAGAACATAGAGAATCAGCATTAAGCAAGGCGTGCTGAGAGCAGAGCAGAGGACAGCCAATCTAGGAAATCTAAACCCTAACGAAGGCTCCAAATCGTGAGGAGAGGTTGGAAATAAACTCATATGAGGGGAGTTGGAACTCACGTGAGGGGAGTTGGAAGTGAACTCACTTGCAGCGCGGCACTTTGCAGAGGCTGTCCTTGCAGGAGCGCGCGTGCAGGTGCAGCAGCCCCCACATGCGCTTGCAGTGCTGGCAGCCCCCTGCTGACCGCACGGCACAGATGGTGCCGTGGCGGAACAGCATCTTGACCATGCTGCACTTGGGGTACGTGCATACGGTGCCTGGTTGTGGGCGGCATGAGGCTGCATGCGCCAATAGCTCGAGCATCTTGCGTACCTGTGGGGGCACAAGCAGAAGGAGGAGGAGGGAGGGAGGGGAGGCGAAGAGAGCATCTTGACCATGCTGCACTTGGGGTACGTGCACATGGTGCCGGGCTGGGGGCGGCAGGATGCTGTGGTGTGGACCCATCTCAACACCCCCCACACAGCCCCACCCAATGCTCCCTGCCAGCCAGGCTGTCACCACCCCCCCTCACCTCCTTGATGCGTTGCTGCCAGCCCTCCTGGCTCTGCGCGTTCCTATCCGGCTGGCTCGCGTGCGACACCAGCGGGTGGGGATGCCCGCACGTGTCCTTGCACTGGGCGCACACGTCATAGTCCGGACACTGCTCCCTGCCCCCAACTCCCTCTCACCTCCTTGCCACCTATTTCCTTCACACACACGCACACCACAATCAGCACCTCACTGAACCAGCTCCTCACCTCCTTGATGCGTTGCTGCCGCCCCTCCTGGCTCTGCGCGTTCCTATCCGGCTGGCTCGCATGCGACACCAGCGGGTGGGGATGCCCGCACGTGTCCTTGCACTGAGCACACACGTCATAATCTGGACACTGCTCGCACCGCCACCCCTGCCGGTTCTCGATGTCACGCTGGCACGCGTTGCACGTGACGACAAAGGCCGGGGCGGTGGGGTTGTGCAGGTGGTAGAGCACCATGAGGGAGGAGTGCTTGGCGCGGCGCAGCGTGTCGTACTGGTAGTGGTTGCCCTGGCAGAGAGAGAGGAAGGCCTGCCGCGTATCGAAAAACTCGGACTCCACCACTTCGTCCGGGTCCTTGGTTTCTGCAGGAACGGGCGGGTCAATAGGCCTCTGGAGTGGGAAGCGAACGGGGGAGGGGGAGGGGTGCGCAGGGCGGCAGGGGGGAGGGGGGAAGGGGGAGCAGAGGGGGAAGGAAGGGGGGTTGTGCAGGTGGTAGAGCACCATGAGCGAGGAGTGCTTGGCGCGGCGCAGCGTGTCGTACTGGTAGTGGTTGCCCTGGCAGAGAGAGAGAAACGCCTGCCGCGTGTCAAAGAATTCTGACTCCACCACCTCGTCAGGGTCCTTAGTTTCTGCGGGCACTGGCGGGTCGATGGGGCGCTGGGGAGGCGAATGGGGGGAGGGCGAGGAGTGCGCGGGGGGGAGGGGGGAATGGGGAGCAGAGGGGGAAGGGGAGGGTACAAGCAAGGAGTGGCATGAGTGGGGAGTGTTTCATGCAGTCAGCAAGTCCTACGATGGGAGAGGAGTGGGAAAGGGAGGGGAGGGGGAGGCGGGAACGTGTAGGGAGGAGGGAGGGATTGCAAGGGAGGAGGGAGGGGCCAGAAGAGGGATGGGAAAGGGGAGACTGGGTCGTTGTGGTGCAGGCAGAGGGGGGAGAGAACGAGCAGGCAGTGGAGTGGAGATGACGAACAAGCAGGAGACTCGCACAGCACAGGGAACGCTGGCTTTTGACAGCTAACCTCACATTCACGGGCCTGAGGTCCTGCCTTGGGACGTGCCAACGTTAGAGCACTCACGGGTGTGAGTTGGTGGGTCCATGGGGTTGAATTTTTAGGCACCTCAAAAATGGCCTGGTGTGTGTGTGTGAAGCACTCACGGGAGCGAGTTGGTGGGCCTCTTTGAGCAGCACAGGGTGGCGGTCCACGGGGCTGCGCCGCTCCTCCTGCTTGAAACACCTGCCAGACACGGAGCAAGGGGCGAGGAGACAGAAGCAGAAAAGAGGAAAGCAGATGGTTAAGTGACCAGCGCCATAGAGGGAGCATCATCATCATGGCAATGAGGCAAACGGAAGCATAGAGGGCTCAAGAAAAGGGCTACTGGGAAAGGGAAGGGAGGGCAGTAAAGGAGGGCAGAAGCGGAGGGCTGTAGTGGAGGACTCACGAGTCGCAGATGTTGAAGTGCTTGCACTGCGGCTGCAGGCACACCCATCTGTTGCCGGCAATGATGAAGTTCTTGCAGTGCGAGCAGCAGTAGTGCATGTGCACCATTATGAAATCCTCCTTCATCTGCAATATCGTGCTGCCCAGCTGTAGGTGGGGTGAGAGAGTGGGGGGGAAGGAGGGAGGGAGAATGAGGATGGAGCAAGGAAAGAGGGTGATACAAAATGTGAGCGCGGGTGCAGGAAGTGCAGAATAGTGTCTGGGCCCACAACGCTGCTTATCCAACGATGCCAGGGCCCACAGATTCTCACACCTGTCGCCCTGCCCTCTCCTCTACCCCCGCCCCTCATCCCTCGTCTACCCATCCTGCCCACAACCCTCCCTTCTCACCTTGCTCATCAGCTGCTTATCCAGCGAAGCAGGCGTCCCCAGGTCCTCATCTCGCCCCCCCCCACCGCCCCGCTTGCAGGACGTTTTGCTCTTCTTGGCCTTCTTGGGCCCCTTGCCGCCCGGCTTCTCCTCCTCGCGCTCCTCCAGCAGCTTCTGCAACTCGTCCTCCATGGCGCCCGGCCAGTAGTCCCCACATCCTCACCCACTCCCTTCCCGGACCCCCCCATCCCCCCTCTCCTTTCTCACCTTGCTCATCAGCTGCTTGTCCAGCGACGCAGGAGTCCCCAAGTCCTCATCCCTGCCCCCTCCGCCCCCGCGCTTGCTCGAAGCTTTGCTCTTCTTGGCCTTCTTGGGCCCCTTCCCTCCGGCCTTCTCCTCCTCGCGCTCCTCCAGCAGCTTCTGCAGCTCGTCCTCCATGGCGCCCGGCCAGTAGTCCCCATCGAAGTACGGCAGGCGGGCCGCAGAGGGAAGCGCGCGGCACTCGCCGATCTGTACGAAGAATGTGTCGTAGAGGTTGCTCACCTCTACCACTATGCTCTCCGCTGTCGCCTTGCGCAGCATGGTGAGATACCTTGTAGTAAAGGGGATGGATAAGCAACGGAGGGGAGAGGGCACAACACAAGAGGCGGTTGAGATAGAAGAATGTGTCGTACAGGTTGCTCACCTCCACCACTATGTACTCTGCCATGGCGTTTCCGCAGCATGGTGAGACACCTGGTGAGGGGGATGGAAGGGAGCGGCAAGAGAGGGGAAAAGGAGCGGGTTAAAGATAAAAGGGCGTCGAACAGGTTGCTCTCCTCCACCACTATGTTCTCTGCAGTGGCCTTGCGCTGCATGGTGAGATACCTCGTAATGGGGATGGGAAGGGAGGGAGGGATAAGAGAGGGAAAGAGGCGGTTCAAGGAGAAGACGGAGACGTACGGCATTGCGCAGCACGGCGAGGCACCTTGTAATAGTGCCAGTGTCAGTGCAGCGCACCACTCACCTTGTAATAGTGCCAGTGTCAGTGCAGCGCACCACTCACCTTGTAATAGTGCCAGTGTCAGTGCAGCGCACCACTCACCTTGTAATAGTGCCAGTGTCAGTGCAGCGCACCACTCACCTTGTAATAGTGCCAGTGTCAGTGCAGCGCACCACTCACCTTGTAATAGTGCCAGTGTCAGTGCAGCGCACCACTCACCTTGTAATAGTGCCAGTGTCAGTGCAGCGCACCACTCACCTTGTAATAGTGCCAGTGTCAGTGCAGCGCACCACTCACCTTGTAATAGTGCCAGTGTCAGTGCAGCGCACCACTCACCTTGTAATAGTGCCAGTGTCAGTGCAGCGCACCACTCACCTTGTAATAGTGCCAGTGTCAGTGCAGCGCACCACTCACCTTGTAATAGTGCCAGTGTCAGTGCAGCGCACCACTCACCTTGTAATAGTGCCAGTGTCAGTGCAGCGCACCACTCACCTTGTAATAGTGCCAGTGTCAGTGCAGCGCACCACTCACCTTGTAATAGTGCCAGTGTCAGTGCAGCGCACCACTCACCTTGTAATAGTGCCAGTGTCAGTGCAGCGCACCACTCACCTTGTAATAGTGCCAGTGTCAGTGCAGCGCACCACTCACCTTGTAATAGTGCCAGTGTCAGTGCAGCGCACCACTCACCTTGTAATAGTGCCAGTGTCAGTGCAGCGCACCACTCACCTTGTAATAGTGCCAGTGTCAGTGCAGCGCACCACTCACCTTGTAATAGTGCCAGTGTCAGTGCAGCGCACCACTCACCTTGTAATAGTGCCAGTGTCAGTGCAGCGCACCACTCACCTTGTAATAGTGCCAGTGTCAGTGCAGCGCACCACTCACCTTGTAATAGTGCCAGTGTCAGTGCAGCGCACCACTCACCTTGTAATAGTGCCAGTGTCAGTGCAGCGCACCACTCACCTTGTAATAGTGCCAGTGTCAGTGCAGCGCACCACTCACCTTGTAATAGTGCCAGTGTCAGTGCAGCGCACCACTCACCTTGTAATAGTGCCAGTGTCAGTGCAGCGCACCACTCACCTTGTAATAGTGCCAGTGTCAGTGCAGCGCACCACTCACCTTGTAATAGTGCCAGTGTCAGTGCAGCGCACCACTCACCTTGTAATAGTGCCAGTGTCAGTGCAGCGCACCACTCACCTTGTAATAGTGCCAGTGTCAGTGCAGCGCACCACTCACCTTGTAATAGTGCCAGTGTCAGTGCAGCGCACCACTCACCTTGTAATAGTGCCAGTGTCAGTGCAGCGCACCACTCACCTTGTAATAGTGCCAGTGTCAGTGCAGCGCACCACTCACCTTGTAATAGTGCCAGTGTCAGTGCAGCGCACCACTCACCTTGTAATAGTGCCAGTGTCAGTGCAGCGCACCACTCACCTTGTAATAGTGCCAGTGTCAGTGCAGCGCACCACTCACCTTGTAATAGTGCCAGTGTCAGTGCAGCGCACCACTCACCTTGTAATAGTGCCAGTGTCAGTGCAGCACACCACTCACCTTGTAATAGTGCCAGTGTCAGTGCAGCGCACCACTCGGCAGCTGACATGACAGCATGGCATGGGGACAGCTGTGGGCCTACCATTCGCGCAGCTTGACGGGTTGGGGCGTCTTCTGGATCTCGGGGTGGCAGTAGAGGATGTAGTCCTCGCCCTTGAGCGGCGGGCACGCCCAGATGTAGCAGCTCGTGAAGCCGCGCATCTTGGAATACTCCAGGTACCCGATCTGGTGGGGTAGGAGGAGGGTTGGTGCAGGGACAAAGAAGGCACAGAGAGGCAATAGGAACATAGTCCTCCTTGGCCTTGAGGGAAGCGCACGCCCAAATGTAACAGCTCGTGAAGTCACGCATCTTGGAATACTCCAGGTACTTGATCTGGGGAGCATCTGCCAGCAGGGAGTAGGGTTGACACGGGACGGGAGGCAGAGGGACAGAGGGGAACGATATGGGATGGGATGCATTCTTCTTGCTCCTCTTTTTCTCCTACTTAGAATTACAAGCACGAGAGTGCACGGGCAAACTCACTCACCAGTATTTCGTGGTAGACGAATCTTCTCAGGGCCTCTCCGTTGACGGTGCGCACGTCGGGGCGGAAAAAGTACTTGATGGAGTCGAGCGACTTTTGGGGCGCCTCAAAACACGTCGGGGCGGAAAAGTACTTGATGGAGTCGAGCGGAGGTAAGAGAGGTAGATGGATCATGTGAGAGGGTGGTGTGGTGGTGCACTGAAAAGCTCTCACCAGAATCTCATTGGTACACGAAGGTCCTCAGTGCCTCGCCGCTGACGGTACGGACATCGGGGCAGAAGTACTTGATTGAGTCGAGGTAGGAGAGGTAGATGCGGCGGTGCTGGTGGTTGGGTCAGACTCACACCAAGAGCCTCACCTGCCGCCGAGTGGCAAGCTCACTCACCAGGATCTCGTGGTACACGAAGGTGCGCAGCGCTTCTCCATTCACTGTGCGCACGTCCGGGCGGAAGTATTTGATGGAGTCGAGGTAGGAGAGGTAGATGCGGCGGTGGTTGGGCGGCAGGCAGTCGGCACCAAACTCCTGCACGTACATGGCGTAGAGACACACCTCCACGCCCTCTATGCGCTGGAACAGCAGCACCACCTGGTGGGTTGGGGAGGGGAGGGTGCAGATGCGACATGCAAGAGAGAGAGAGAAGAGATGACAGGGATGGGGTGGCCTCAAACTCAACTCCTGCACGTACATGGCGTAGAGACACACCTCCACGCCCTCTATGCGCTGAAACAGCAGCACCACCTGGTGAGCGTTGTGGAGGAAGTGGGAGGGGGGACGAGGAGGAGAATATGGAGCGGGTGTAAAGAGAGGGCTGACTGACTGGCACATCTCCATCCCCCCCCACTATGTGCTGGAGAACAACAGCACCACCTGGAAAGGAGGCATTTCAGTTCACTTGAATTAAGAGAGAAAGACCTTTAATCACTCTCATGCCCCTTCCCGCCCTTTCTCCCCTGCCCCCCGCACCTTGGACTTGTAAGGGAACTCTTTGGGGTACTCTCCATCTGGGAACATGTTGAGAAAGCGTGGCTTCGTCTCCATCCTCTTGTCCACGGACGACACCACTCGAATCACCAGCTCCTCGGGCCCCTCCACCTGCTCACACACACAAGGAAACGATGACACGTAGAGCTCACAACCAGATGACTTTCAAGGTCAAGCTGCCACAAGGGCTTCGTCTCCATCCTCTTGTCCACGGACGACACCACTCGTACCACCAGCTCCTCGGGCCCCTCCACCTGCACAAACACAGCGAATGAGAGCACGAAAAAACCTTCTGAGTAAAATCAAAAGTCTCCACCCCTCCCTACCCTTCTCTACGACGACACCACTTGAATCACCGTCTCCTCAAGCCCTTCCACCTGCGTGCACACAGGGAACAACGACAAGCAACGCTTCCAGCCAGGTGCTTTGCTTCGCTGCCTCAAGGAAGGGTCTCCAGCCAAATTCCATGGTTTCAAAGCCTCTTCGCCAGCCGCCCCTCTCGGTGCTTCAAGCGGAGAAGCGACGCAGGCTCCTGGCGGGGCCCAGTGGCAGGCTCCTGGCGGGGCCCAGCCCAGTGGAGTGAGTGAGTGACGGCTACCAAGGGATGTGGTGGCACCTGACTGACTGGCATGGCACCACAAGGACCGATTAGGCTCACCTCCTCTGGTCTCTTTCTCTGTTGCCTGGCCCTCTCCTCCCTCACCTGCGCCAGCCTCTTCACCAGCCGCCCCTAATGATCCGAGAGGTGCGAGCGAGGCAGGTCCCTGGCGCCGAGCACAGAGAGACGGCTACCAATGGAGGGGACAGCTGGCACGATAAGGACCTACGGACCATGCTCACCTCATCCACTCTCTTCCTCTGCAGCTTGCCTCACCTCATCCGGTCTCTTCCTCTGCTGCCTGGCCCTCTCCTCCCTCTCCTGCGCAAGCCTCTTCGCCAGCCGCCCCTCTAGATGATCCGAGAGGCGCGAGCGCGGCAGGTCTCGGGCGCCGAGCACGGTGGAGGGCGGGAGTGGCGCCCGGAGGCCGCGCTCCATCTGCTCGCAGCAGCACAGCGGACACGTGTACTCCGCCTCGCCCTCGTTGCGCCGCCCGTTGAAGAGCGCACACACCTGGTGCACCCACCGGTCGCACGTGTCGCACTGCACCCACTGGTGAGAGGTGGAAAGAGGGGGGAGGGGCAGGGGAAGGAAGAGGAAGGGGTAGTGTGAGAGACGATGGTCACCATTGAAGAGCGCACACACCTGGTGCACCCACCGGTCACACGTGTCACATTGTACCCACTGCTCAGTTGGAGCGAGGGAACAACAGGAAGGGAAGAGTGAGAGACGAAGGATACCAACTTACCAGCAGATTGCGCATACAATGGAAGGAGCACACAGCAGGGAGAGCAGGTTGGGAGGGGGAGCCAGCGAGATCAAACAGACAACATCGAACGGGAGGACCAGGGAGAAAGAAATGCACAAGAAATGCACAAGGAATGCACAAGGAATGCACAAGGAATGCACAAGGAATGCACAAGAACTGCACATACCGCTTCCTCTGTCTCCTCGTCATTGATCCTCTTGGTGAGACTAGCCTTGGGAATCGGCCTGAGCCCCTCCAGCGTGATCGCATCCCCTCGGAAGTCCCCGTAGCACCGGTTGCACACGCACTGCCGCTGGTCGCCTGCGCCCGGCGTGGCATAATACGCCTTGTTCCTCTGAATCCTGCGCCCACACGCCGTGCAGTAGATGGGCGGCGGGTCGAAAAAGAGTTTTTCCACGGAGCACAGCCGGCAGTCACTGTCCCGTGGCTGCTGCTGCTGCAGCTGCTGCGCTGCCTGCAGCTTCTCCTGCTTCTGCTTGCTCTGCCCTACCCACTGCCGCAGACTCCGCACGTGCAGACGGATCATCTCTGGGGTGAAGAGCTCGGTTAGAGACGTGCCCACGCCCTTGCTCTTCATGTTCTTGTTGCTCGCTGCTGCTGCCGCCGCTGCCGCCGCTGCTGATGCTGCTGCTGCGGCTGCTGCTGTGGTGGTGACTGCTCCTGCGCCCCCTGCAGGTACAAGCGCCTTGCTATCTTCTGTCCGAGGCTCTGCCTTCACACTCGCTGCGCCGCCACCAGCACCACCCGCGCCAGAAACACCTGCCCCAGCCCTACCCTCCGCCTTCACCTGCCCTGCCCCTGTCCCTGCTGACCCTACCCCTCCCTCTGCCTTCACTGCAGCACTACCCGCAGCAGCAGCAGCAGCGGCAGCAGCAGCCTTAGCCTGTGCGCCCGCTCTCCCTGCAAGAGCGCCATTGGCACTTCCCTGCATCTTGCTGCCAGCAGCCTTGCCAGCCTTGGCACCAGCAGGCCTCTCAGGCTTCTCCTTTTCACCACCAGCAGCACCAGCAGCACCGCCAGGACCACCAGCACCACCCGCTCCTCCTGCTGCTGCAGCACCGCCAGCCTCTGCCTTCACGCCAGAGCTCCGCTTTGGCCCACCACCTGCAGCCTTTAGACCCCCCACCCCGCCTTCCAGCTTGGCTCGTTTCAGAGGCTGCGCCCCTGCCCCCTTCTCCTTCTCCCTCTCCTTCTCCCGCCCTGGCTCTGCTACCCCGCCCTCCCCACGCCTAGCTCCCTCATTCGGCCTCTTCTGCCCTGTAATAGCTGGCCCAGCAACACCCGTGGCACCAGCTGAGCCTGAAGCCGCCGCTGCTCCTGCTGCTCTAGCAGCACTGGCAGCAGCAGTAGCAGCAGCACTGGCTGCGGCAGTAGCACCAGCTTGTGTTGCCCTCTCTACAGCCCCTGCAGCCCCAGCAGCAGGACCCAGCGGCGTGCCTGAGAGAGGAGCAGCAGCAGGAGAAACACCAGGAGCCGAAGCTCCATTGGCAGATGCCCCTTTGCCTGTGGCTGTGTCTTCAGGTGCAGGTGCAGGCTTGGCGGTACCAGTGGTGACAACCGGCACAGCAGTGGAGTGATCTCCCTGCCCACCTGCAGCTGCTGCAGCATTGGAAGCATCGCCATTCACTGCAACTGCTCCATCCGCCACAGGCACTGTCGTGACCTGACCATCACTGGCACCAACACCCACCTCTGTCTCTTTCTCGTCCTGCCGCTCACTCCCAGCACCCGCAGCGGCATCAGCTGCAGCAGCCTCTACAGGAGCAGCCGCTGCAGCCGCAGCCGCAGCAGCAGCGGCAGCCGCCGCCGCAGCCGCAGCCGCCGCATTCGCTCTCGCCGCCAGCATCTGCTGCTGAAACGCCCGCCTCACAGGCCCGCACACGGGGCACTTGGGATCCCGGCAAATCTGGTGGTGGTGCAGAAGCTTTCTGGAAGGAACGCAGCGGGGGTAGGCGCACTCAGGGTCCTTGCAGCGGGAGCAGTGGGCCCAGAGCTCTCGAAACACGCGGCAGTGCGCGCCCACGTTGCAGGAGCCGTTGGCAGCGGTGCAGCGGGACGCATGGCGCAGCGTGTGCAGCCACTTTTGCTGCCGCTGGTACTGCATGGCCCGCTGGGGGTCAATCGCGCCGCCTCCTGCTGCTATCTCCCCCGCTGCTCCCGCCCCTGCTCCCGCTTCCACCAATGCCCCTGCTCCCGCTCCTGCTGCCGCTCCTCCTCCTGCACCTGCTCCTGCCGCTGCTCCCGCCGCTGCTCCTGCCCCTGCAGTGGCTTTGGCAGAAGGTTCGGTACTAGCAGGCACGCCATTCAGCACTGCACCTGTTGCTCCAGAACCAGGTGTTGAACCGGAGGGCTGCTGCTGCTGCTGCTGCTGCTGCTGCTGCTGCTGCACTTGCTGTGAGATCACTGGCCCTTTTCCCCCCTGCATCCGCTGTGGAAAACCCGCGTTCCCCTTAACCTGCGGGTGCTGCTGCGGCTGCTGGCGTGAGTGCTGCTGATGCGCCATCACACCACCTGCACCACCCACGCCAGCAGCACCGGCACCAGCCCCGGCCACAGCAGCACCGTCCCCCACAGCCCCACCTGCCCCACCCGGCCCCCCTGCTGCCCCAGCCCAACCAGAGGCGCCGTCGCGAGCAGCAGACGCAGTGAGCCCCCCAGCGTCCATCACCGGGGGGCCGCCAGGCGTGGGAATCATGAGAGACGCGCCACCCGCCCGACCTGCCTGCTCCGCTGCCCCTCCCGCCTGTGCTGGGCCGGATGGGATGGAAGGGCCTGGTGGCAGGTACCCTGGCATTGCTGCAGACAGGAAAAAAAAGAGAGGCGCAGGGAGAAGGGGAGGAGGGGATGCGCAGGGAGGGGGCAGGAAATGCAGGGGCGAGCAGGGAATTCACAAAAGAGGGGGTGGAGACGAAGGGAGGGGGTTGAAGACGTAGAGAGCATGGAATTAGGCAAGGAGGTGAACAGAATAACTCAGGGAATTCGGCAAATCGGCAGGGAGGGTGTGGGACATGTAAAAACGGTCAAGATACGCAGGCGATGCGGGGGTGGAGGAGGGAAGGGGGGGCGGGGGAGGGGGATTGGGGAGGGGGGAGGGGTTGCAAGAAACCGCAGGGAGGAAACCATGAGAACGACTCACTGACACGGGTGTCTGAGAAATTCACCATGAGAATCGGCGGTTGGTAGTTGCTGCTGCTGGTACATGTGGTGTGGTTGTTGCTGCTGCGCTTGCTGCTGCTGCTGAGACAATCCCTGATACGCTTGCTGCTTCCGCTGCGGTCCCTGCTGCCTCTGCCCCTGCTGCTGCTGTAGTTGCGGTTGCGGCTGTTGCTGTTGTTGCTGCTGCTGTTGCTGCTGCAGTTGCGGTTGCAATTGCTGTTGCTGTTGCTGCTGCTGCTGTTGCTGCTGCTGCCCCCCGTGCTGCCCCCCATGCTGCTGCCATTGCTGCTGCCTCTGGCCCTGTTGCCCTTCCTGCAGCATCGCCTGCTGCTGCAGCTTCTGCTGCTCAACTAGCATCTGCTGCTCCCCCTGCCGCTGCTCCACAAATCCCTGATTGCCCCCACCTGGACCAGCCAAACCAACACGTTGACCCATTCCTCTGCCTGTCCCTACCCCCACACCAACCCCCACACCTTCCTGCACTCCACCCAAAGCTGCCTCACTTCCCTCTCTCCCTCCTCTCGCCGCTGCTTGACCAGCGCCCATAGATGCCCCCAACGCAGCACCCGCACTGGCAGCCGCACCATCAGCAGCAGCCACGCTTGCACCCAGACCCGTCACCAACCCTGCTGCTGGCATGCTGTCCGAACCAGTGGCCCAGGTTTGGGATCTCGAAGCTTCAGAAGGAGGTGGTAGGCCCGGTGTGGGAATCATAGCAGGGCCTGATGCATCGGCTAAGGTCGAAGCAGACGCAGAGGCGGGGTTAGAAGTCAGACGGTTGTTGGGGCCGGAGGGAGACTGAAGTGTTGGTTGTTGTTGCTGTTGGTTGGGTAGCCGGCGCTGAAAGTGCCCTCCTTGCTGCACTGGCTGCTGCTGCTGCTGCTGCTGCTGCAACTGTTGCAATTGTTGTTGTTGTTGCTGCTGCTGCTGCATTTGTTGCTGCACCGGCCGATTCTGCGTGAATTGTTGCTGCTGTTGCATAGAATGTTGCTGTTGTTGTTGATGCTGCTGTTGATGTTGTTGCTGTTGTTGCTGCTGTTGCTGCTGTTGCTGCGATTGCTGCGGTTGCTGCTGCTGATGTTGCTGCTGCTGAGGCAGCGGCTGCAGCGCAGAAAGAGGTTGTGCTTGCGGTTGAGACATGAATCCAGGTTGCCCAACTCCTGATATCATGAGAGTAGAGAAGGGGACAACAAAGCAAGCGAGAGAGTAAGAGTGAGTGAGAGAGTGAGAGAACGCAAGAGAGAAAGGTAGAGAAGGCAAGGGTGATGGGAGAAAACAGCAAAGCCCAATGCGATATGACGAAAATGCATAAGTTACAAATGCGTACCACTTGACATCTGCTGATGCTGAAGTGGTTGTCCTGCTTGCTGCTGCACTTGTTGCTGCAGCTGACGTTGTTGCGGTTGTTGCTGATGTTGCTGCTGCTGCTGCTGCTGTTGTGGTTGTTGTTGTTGCTGCTGCTGCTGCTGCTGCTGCTGCTGCTGCTGCTGTTGTTGCTGTTGTTGCTGCTGTTGTTGCTGCTGCTGTTGCTGCTGCTGCTGCTGCGTTCTGGTAGACAGGAGCCTAGCAGCAAGCTGCAGTCGTCGCTCCAGGGTGCTGAAATCGCCATACTCCTCCTGCACCACCACAACAAACAACAACCAGCTCCACCAGGCCACAGCACACAGCACACAGCGCAGTACAGAACAGAAAAGCACAGCCACGAGAATCAAACAGGACTAACACGCAAATAAGCGAAATCAACCGGAGGAAGAACAAAAGGCGTGACCAATTGCCTTCACTCTACAGACAAATGGACCGACGCAGGACAACAGCGACGGTAGCAATCAGAGCAGCTAGCGAGTGAGGGCCCTCGAGGCCTCACCCTCGAATTCGCCGTTCGGTACAGCACTTCCTCCAGCTTGCGGACGAAATCCGTCAGCTTCTCCCGGTTGTACTGCGACGTCGCTTGCGGATTCCTCGTCTGGAACAGTTGCATCCTGCAGACGGTAAATGGGACAGGAAACGAAGTGAACCGGTAGGTAAAAATCGGAATCGAGCACTGCATACGATTGTTTACGGCGACACGAAAACGTCACGTGTCGGTTCGAGACGGAGAGGAAGCGCGAAGCTTACGTCCTCGCGAAGACGCTGTGTCGCAACTGCGTGTCCTGGTCTGGTTTCCGCCATTGCGTTGCCGGGTTTCCCGCCGACCGCTGCAAGGGAGCAGCGGTTTGCGCCTGCATTTTCCCGGCGCCTAAGCAGCCGGATACAGTACCCTAACAAACCTTAGCGCCCTTCGAGCCCTATGAAACTAAAATAGGATCTTAAAACGCACCACAGACAAAGTATAAGCTTTCCGTAAACAAGCGGGTTACATGGCCTCCTTCGGCAACAAAACACTTTTTTCCTAGTTAATATCAAAGTAGCAATTTTACTTAGTCTGAAACGGCCTAGAAGTAACGATCCTAAGGCCAGGAGCCTTCAATATTGCTTTCCATTTTTCCATTTTTCACGGCAGAGCAGCCATGGCTGCTGATAGCATGAAGCCGAGCAACAAGGTGTTTCAGGCAGCGGTAGGCGAAGTGTGCTGCTCCGCAGAACGCTGGGGTGGGGAGCGGTGAGAGGCGTGGAGCAGAAGATACTCCCGAGAACAGATCCACCCAACCGGATGTCGCCGTTTCACGAAAGGGTTACGGCGGCTAACGATTTGTCGGTCACGAAAACCCCTGCTACTGCTGTCCCAAGTGGTCTCAGGCTAAACATACCGGTATCATACATTTATAATTATCATACATATATAATCGCTGCATATGAAGTAATCACTATCATGGAGTGCATGTTTTGAAATCAAAAACTTTTAGACCCACCCACTACCAGTGCCCCGTTGAATCTTGAGGGCAGGATGCAAGGATCTGGGATAGGCAGGCTGCTGGATTGGAGTGCTGTTTTCTGGATGGCTGAGGCAGACTGGTTAGCTGGTTGGCTGGTAGGCTGGTGTGTTCGTTGACTGGTTGGCTGCTTTGCTGCTTTGCTACTTGGCTGCTTGTCCGATTGGCTGACTGACTGATGGCCATGGCATCTACCTTTTCTGTACCGCAGTTTGTGCACCGTCTGTAACAACCCTGCTTCCTGTCAGTCCCTGCCATCAACACTTTTGTGTTGGGGGTTTGCCTGTCTCCTGTGACTGCTTTGTGGTACCGTACGGTAGCTGGTTCTGCATGTGCATGCATGCTGCATGCAGCTCGTGCTTCAGTACCCTGCGTTTCTACTTTCTTTTCACCACTGCGCGGCTGCCTGACACAGCACAGCACCTGCTTGGGTGTATGCGCACCTTCAAGGCTGCCCTGCCCACCCCACCCACCTATTCCACAATATGCAGGCCCATCCCAACCCGGCACAGCACAACACACCTACGCAAACCTAAGCACACCTAAGCAAATCTTGGTGCACCTAAGGACAGATAAGCAAACACAAAGCACAGCAGTGGTCCGTCTTAAGCTCTTGGTGGTCGCTCCACCCGCAAGCGGCAGCCCACCCCACATGTCCTCTCCCTCGCCCTGCACTTCACCATAGAAGCTGCCATCGGGACAGTAATGGGACAAGGAAGGAAGAAAAAGAAAGAGGATGAGCCACTCAGAAGCTGCAGAAGTGAAGATGATCAGACGGCAAATGTTAGAAAGGCGAATGTGTATTGTATTCACGTCAGATGGCCATTGAAAGGCGAGCACTAAGTGAGAAATGTACGATAACAGAGCCAGCAACTACCCCCTGCAGAATCTCCCACCACACCCACCATGCAGATCACGCAGCAGTGCTGTTGCTGCCACTGCTCCCCCCACGGATGCTGTCAGAGACAGCAATGGGACCTGGAGAAAGAGAAACACTCACATGCACGCGAACTAGAGACACGGCCCTTGCCTCTGCGTGGCGACTCACTTCACGCCCCCCCTGCAAGAACCCCCTGGCACGTACCATGCTTCGTCCTCTGCTCTCCCACTCCTGCACCACGAGCAATCCGCCACACTCCGGAGCTTGAAGGCTGAGAGGCACACTCAGAGGCATGCACACACGCACACGCACACATGCACAGCCTTTGTCCTCTTTCCCCCTCCCCCCACACGCACATGCACAGTCGCCGTCCACTCGCTCGCTGCCATTCCAGTCCGCCTCGCAGGACACGAGGCACACACACGCATGGGGAGAGAGAAACACACACACACACACAGAGAAGCATCGCAACAAGGGAGGGTTAGGAGCAGCATGAGAGGAGGCGAATGGCAAAGACAAGAACAAGACGTGACTCTTGCCTCTGCGCGGCGACACACTATGACTCGATTCACGGCCCCCCTGCAAGCACCCCCTGGAACATACCACGCTCCATCCGCTGCTCTCCCACTCCTGCGCCACGCCTTCACTTGAGGCGTCCATGGTTGCCATTGCTCTCCGCCTCGCAGGCCATGAGGCACACACACACATAGTGGGAGAGAGAGACACACACACATGGGGGGAGAGAGAGACACACACATGGGGGGAGAGAGAGACACGCATAGAAGAAGGTTAGAAGCAGCAGGTGGCAAGTGGTGGACCCACAAGCAAAAGACACGACTCTTGCCTCTGCGCGGCGACACCCTATGACAGTTCACGGCCCCCCTACAAGCACCCCCTGGCACGTACCATGCTCCCTTGGCTGCTCCCGCACTCCCGCGCCACGCCTTCTCTTCAGGCGTGGTGCTCCAGGTGTGGTGTACTCACAACTTCTTGTGTGCTGGCCTGGCCATCATCCTGGCCAGGGAAGGGGGAGCGAGGCGAGGGGATCATGTTAACTGCATACAGCAAGACAAGAGAACGAGCCACATAGACAAGGGTGAAGGGAGACGGGTAAGGTCTGACAAGAGCACGAGCGGCATTGAACAACCAACGAATAGAGGGAGCTTGGTTGCGATAAGATAAGCTGCACTCACCCCTCCTTTTCTGCTGCAGCCGCCACTGCAGCTGCCATTGACGTTGCAACTGACGCTGCCACCACTGGTACTGCTGCCACCACTGGCACTGCTGCCACCACTGGCACTGCTGCCACCACTGGCACTGCTGCCACCACTGGCACTGCTGCCACCACTGGCACCGCTGCCCATGCGGCTGGTTCTGGACAGAAGGTGCGGCACTTGGCTATGGCTCACTCCTCCACTGCTGCTGCTGCCACCAGCGCTGCTGCTGCCAATGCGGCTGCCCACAGCGCTCGCTCTGGATAAAAGCTGCTGATGAACGGGCGGAGAGTTGAGAAAAGGAGATGGCAGGAGTGGAGAGGTTTCCGAGCTGAGAAGAGTGCCATGAAGACTTGGCAACACACCAGCAAAGATACGTGGGCACCGTGGGGAGATGGTAGACATGACCGTGGGGAGATGGTAGACATGACCGTGGGGAGATGGTAGACATGACCGTGGGGAGATGGTAGACATGACCGTGGGGAGATGGTAGACATGACCGTGGGGAGATGGTAGACATGACCGTGGGGAGATGGTAGACATGACCGTGGGGAGATGGTAGACATGACCGTGGGGAGATGGTAGACATGACCGTGGGGAGATGGTAGAGATGACCGTGGGGAGATGGTAGACATGACCGTGGGGAGATGGTAGACATGACCGTGGGGAGATGGTAGACATGACCGTGGGGAGATGGTAGACATGACCGTGGGGAGATGGTAGAGATGACCGTGGGGAGATGGTAGACAT